TCCCAGATGGTGTTGGCCTCCAAGAACCTCTCAACCTCTTCATTCACCGCCTGGGCGTGATGTGGCGCTGTGAGTCGAGGCTTTTGCTTCACCGGCTTATAAGTGGGGTCAACATGAAGCTTATGATTTATAACGTCGACACTTATCGCCTTCATCTCCGTGGCTTCCCTTTCGAACACATCTACATTCTTCCTTAGGAAATTTGTCATCTCTTCCTTCTCGGTCGGGGACATGGTGGAGCTGACCAGGAAGTACTTTTCTTCATCTCCTTCCACAAGAAGTATCTTTTAGAGATTTTCCATTGAGCGATATGCCGGATCAATCCGTGACTCATCGACTCTTAGCCGCCCGATCTGTAATTGCTATTTGTTCAGGATTTCTTCTAGGGCTCGCTTATATTCCTTGGAGGCGACCCCTTGCCCTTACCATCGAATAGAAACAATTTTTGGCGAATGCTTTGTCTCCGTGGATCTCTTTCACTCCCCCCAGGGTGGGGAACTTTAATTTTGAATGATAGATGGAATGCACCGCCCCTAGGGTATGCAACCAGGCCCGCCCCATGATAATATTGTAAGGCGAGTCGAAGTCAATCACCACAAATTCCGTGTTGGTTATGACGGGCCCGGAGGTAACTGGAAGTGTGATCTTGCCTAGGGGCAAGGCATATAAGCCGTTGAATCCAATGAAGGGCGTGCTAACTTTGGTGAGATCTTGAGTACCAAGCCTCATGCGCTTCAGGACTTCAAAGTACATTATCTCAGAAGAACTTCTGGAGTCCACCAAGACCCTCTTGATATCAAAGTTGCCAATTTTCAATGTCAGGATCAAGGCGTCCTCATGGGGAGCACCACACTTGCTAGATCGACGTCGAAAAAAGTGATGTCTTCCTTACTAGTCTGGGGCCTCTTGCCCGACCGGCCCCCACCTACCTCGTCCACCTTCCTTGTGAATGCTATTCTTTTTAGATTGAATTTGAGGGTTTTGAACGTTAGACGCTCCAGCGGGCAGATATTGATGACGTTGATTATATTGCCTTGGACGGTGGTCTGGTTATCGGCACCATGAGCCTCATTTGGTGCTGTCTCGATGTATTCCTTCAAATGCCCTTCTGCACCAATTTTTCCAGGAAAGACTTATAGACCTTACAATCTTCAGTGAGGTGTCCAAAGTCTTGGTGGTATGATCATTTCATTTTCTGGTTTCGAGTGGACGAATCACCCTACATCTTGGGTGGCTATTTGAACAAGGGTTCCTTCTTGATCTTATGGAGCAACTTGTAAATAGGCTCTTTAAACACGGAGTGGACTCCTTTGAATGAACTTCCTGACAGAGGCATCAACCTTTTCTGGGAAGGGGTGCCCTCTTTCTCCTTTTCTTTCTTCTTTGGGGCATCCTCGATCCGAAAGTACTTATTTATTCGAGCCATCAGTTCCACCATATCGGCTGGGTGTTTTCTTTGTTAAGGATCGATAGAGATTGGTGTCTCGAGAGAGGCCCAGTCTAAAAGAGGCAGCCGTCATGACCCAAAACATCCCTCCACCTCGTTTACTTTCCCCCAGTAGTGAATGACATATTGGCGAAGGGTCTCTCCTTTCTTCCATCTCAGGTTCAATAGTGATCCGACGTCCTTAGGTTGTCTACTTCCCGTGACGAACCGGACGGAGAACCGCCTGGTTAGCTCCTTCCAAGACCTTATGTTGTTAGGTGGAAAGGTCTCAAACTATTGCATGGCGGAGTCCCCCAGGCTCATCGAGAATACTCGGCATAGTAGTCGTTGGTCCGAGTGGTACAAAGACATCATTTGCTTGTATTGTCTGAGATGGGCTTCTGGATCAGATCGTCTATTAAAAAATTTGAACCTTGATACCGTAAATTTCTTTGGTAACTTCATCTCCACAATACCTCTTGTGAAGGGCGATTGAATAGCCTCGTCATCCGTGTCATCTTCCTGTGTGGCTTGATCCCTTCTCTTGGAATCTAGTCGTGCTCTGAGGTTATTCTCCCTCTCAAAGGCATCCCCCTAGACACTTGGCGTCGGCTAGCAGGGTCCCTGACACCTAGATGTCGGATGAAGAGGGTCGATCCTTCCTCGAACTTCTCCACGCCCCCTCGCCCAAACAGTCCTCGACAGAGGTCATCCCACGCCAAAGGCCTAGCCCTCTTTTCTGGAACCTCCGGGAGTTGTCCCTTAGCCCTCAGGCGCTTTGGAGCCTTAAAAACTCTCTGCTCTACTGTTAAGGTGGTTTCTCAGGTCTTACCTCCCTAATGGATGGCTTCTTGGACCGCGGCAGGTCTCAAAATCCACCGTTAGTGGATGCAAATTCATCGAGTTGATTCAGAATGTTCACGTTGTCCTCTTCTAATTGTCGTAACCGATCTCTGAATTTTTCCTCAATTACCTCAGTCAGTTGACGGGCCAGCGGGGCAGATCTTCTAGACTCAATACCCATACTAGTTTGGCGGGTTTGCTCCTTCGAGTGAACGGAATGCCCCTTGTTGACGCTTTTGACATGGTCCTCCGTTCGCGAAATAGAGGGAGCTGGTAAATCGATATTCCTTTGCTGAGGATCCTTTCCTTTTTTGCGAGTATTCACCATGGTCACTGTTCTTCGAAAAATCTTGTCGTTTCTCACAGACGACGCCAAATTGTGTGCAAAGAATTTCACACAATATATGAAAATGACAGATCTCTTCCATAGTGATCTCGTGTTTGTCGAGAAAGTAGCAGATCCCGTAACAAGGAATGGGTTGAAAGGGCCAAAAGGGGTCTAAGGAGTGGTGATGAATTGCTCCAGGAACTGCTCTATTGATTCCGGTTGGTCATAAGACGTTCCTGGCACACAAAAAACAAGTTAAAAGTGCGCCGGAGTGTTTTTTGACGTATTCCCTCTGACAATCAAGTTAGCTCTTTTGAGAGAAGGAAAGAAGAAAACACTGTTTGGTGTTCTTAAGGAGTAAAATTTGCATACCTTTGCTCACATTTTTGGAAACTATTTATATCCCCAAAAACTCATCATTACTAATAGTCTAGTCAGTAGGTAGTACCTAGACATAGGGTAGTGTGCCTCTTATTTTGCATATGAGAGACCCTTTTATTGATTGCTCGATCTCCTATGTTTTTAATGCCCTTTTTTCGATGTAAAGACTTTAAATGCCCAGAGCCCAGGGCATTTAATACTCCCTATCCTCGGCTTCCCAAGCTCCTGTAGATATCCTATAACTGAGGATTCATTAATACTTGTTTGGGACAGCCGCAAGTCAGCAGGGGTAGTCTTGTCTATTTACCCCTTATCCTGCACTTTATGCCACTCGTTTGACTCCCCTTAATTGAAGGTCCAGTTTGTTATGTTATTTTGACTTCATTGTACAGAGTGCCCTCACGATTCCTAATCTAGTTTAGACTGTTCAGCCGTTAATCAGTAGCCTCTCCATAAACCAAAGACTTGCGGCAAGATCAGAATTTTGGTGAGTACCCTCGGAGCCGAGGACACTTAGCTCCCTCGGAGTGGAGGTACCCTTGGGCCAAGGGCACATGTCTGTCATAGAGAGGGGGAGCACCCCGACGTCGAGCACAAGTACTTGAGACAGATCAACACACGCCTTCGAAGCCGAAGACACGTGTCTTTCCCAGAGCAGATGTGTCATCGGTGTCGAAGACACGTGTCTTTATTAGAATAAAAGTTTTCTCTCGACGCCGAAGACATGTGTTGCCATCTACTCATTTCTCAGAAGTGTCCCATCACAGCACCTGTTTGTAATTGGGTTGTGGTGATTTGAGTCTTGCTTTGAAGGTGTTTGAGAAAATTTCTAATAGAAGCATGGTTTTCTAGATTGCTATAATTGATGAGTATTTTTGTTTTAGATAATGATAGACCCTTTAAGGCTATAAAATTATTCCAGAAAACGGTGGAATACATATTTAGCAATTTCTAATAAGTAAATTTCATGTATTGAGCAGAATGGAGATTATGCCTTTGGTTTTCTCGAAGGTTGCTGATCTGATAGTTGATGCTCAGTGGAGCTTAAATGACGTGGAGGATTGGTTATCTGTGCAGGTGAGAAATGAAGTGTTGAATTCTGGTATTTGTCTGTCTGAAATGGATGACGGAGTTGTTTGGCAGTATACATCTTCTGGTGATTTTTCTGTAAAATCTGTTTGGCATTTGATTAGAGGTCAAGGTGTTTTCATTGGGGCATCTCTATGTGGATTGTCCTTTTTCTAGGACTCTCTGGTTTAAATTTGTTGCAGTGTGTGGTTTTCAGATTATACAGGGTGAAAGTCCTTTGGTGAGGTGTAAAGGTATGCAGGATTTTTAAAAGAAATTCGATAAGTCATGGTTTGGTGAGTCTCCTTAGTTGAAAAAAAATAAATTTAATCTATGCAGAAAGTTGGTCTTGCAGCCTGCTGGTTTTTATTGATGTATGACATGGAATGGTGAAGTACTGGATGGACTTGGATGCTGAGATTGCTGAAGGCTTTATGGTTTTGGCTGCCTCTGGAATTCTGTTTGAAGATGCCTCGTTGGTTTTATGTTTTTTGGTTATTGTATTTGGTTTGGTTTTGTTATGATAAGGTTTATGGCTTTATCTTTGTTTCTTGTGAATGTTACTTTGTGAATAAATAAAATTTTTCGTTTTGTTAGTGTTCTGAATTATTTCCAAACTCATTTCATTTTTATTGAAAAATATTATCATATATTAAACGTAACATATTTAAATTCAAAAATAATCTAAAAGTCAAGTAAAACAACGATCGAGAATGATTTAATGTTGAGCAATACTATAGGGATCTTATTTGGGGACCTAATGATGTGGCTCCAATGCAACTATTGAATTAGTTGTGAATTCCAATGTTAAATGAAACCCACAATTAATTCAATAATTATATTAAATTAGATTCCTAAATTAAGTCTAAATAATATTTTTTTTTAATATTTATTTACGTTAATCCAATAATATTAAAGTTAAAATAATTATTATTTAAGTAGATACGAACATTTCTACGTGATTGAAAAGAAAAAAAACCAAATGGACAAGAAAATCCAACATGATGTCAAAACGTCACAGTCCTTACCTACTGGATTTATCCGACGACCTTTTCTTCTTCCAGTGATTTCAAGCCAGCACTTGACCCAGTTTGCCTAGTTGGGACAAAAAGAACCACGACGACGACGACCACCACCACCACCACCAGAAGAAGCAATAAACTCCAGCACAAAAGCCACCTGCTCTTCCACACCCACCGCCGCCGTCGTGTCCACCACCACCTTCGGCACCTCTCCAACGTCGTACTCCGTACACCCACCGTACCCCTCCACCAGCCTCTCCAACTCCGGCCACGACGCCGGCTTGTGCCAACTCGACCCATCCGCCTCACCCCTCCTCTCCAGTCGCCGGCGCCACTCGGAAACATCATTCGGCTGACACTCAACGATCACAATCCTTGCCCCAGACACCGCCGCCAGTTGTTCTAACCTGTCGAGGTGAGTCCGGCGAGACAGCGGCGAGTCTATCACGACGCTGAGACCCAAACCCACCTGGGTCGAACCCATTTGAAATAGGATTTCGTAGGATAAGTCGTTAAGCAGATTGTGAGCGGTGGCCGGCGGCGAGGAAAGGAGGAGCAGGGTTTGTTGAAGAGACTGTGTGGAATCACGGACATGGTCTTTGTCGATTAGAGGGCATTTGAGAGATGAAGCTATGGAGTGGGCTAGTGTGCTCTTGCCTGTGCCCGGATGTCCTTTCATGGCTATAATTATTGGCTGTTGCTCAAGCTTTTGTTGTTCCATCTGTAAATTTGACGTCTCTGGTCGGAAGGAAAATGGAAAAATTGAAGAGTGATTAAATTTTAAAATATAATTTTGCCTTATCCATTTATTTATTATTATTATTATTATTATTTAATTAATGGTCAAGAATGTCCATCTTGACCATTTATATCTTTATCCTCAAGTATGTTGTGATTTATCTCTTTTATTGTCAATTAAAAATTTGATTCATTTCCCTTCATGTATTTTACCAAAAAAAAAAAAAAAGAACGGAAAAGGTATTTTGATTTGAAAATTTTTACAATAATAATTGGTATGACTTGTCTCCTTTTCTATGAAAAATATTCCACAATATAATATATTTTACAAAATAATTCCAATCGTAATTTTTTTGGTTAGTCAATTCAAGAACTTTTACTATGGGTGTACGATTATACAAAAATTTGACTCCGTCCTTGGATCTGGACCGACTTTTAATATGTTGATATTTTTGAAGATTATCAATAATATTTTTTATGCATAAAATTGTAGTAAAAATCTTTTATTTATGATCATATAATTTATCACATAACGATACATATTTTTATATAATAATAAAATAGCCCTACAACTAAAAAAGAATATAAAATAACCTCCATATGTTTAAAATATATTCGGAAATATCAAAAACATGTTCAAAAGTTAACAATAATATTAGTTGCACCTAACTTGAGATTTAATTAGTGAAGACCTAATGATTAGTGATCATTAAATAGATCGTGGCGTTCATTAAATATTAAGACTCACTATTAGATTTAATATCACAATTCCTTAATTTAAATATCCATAACATTGTTCAAAAAATTAAAAATCATTTAGTTAGGAGTTTATTTAAATCGATATCATCAAAATACAGTATTAAGGTAGACACAATTAAATATATCTAAATTTTATTTCAAAAAATCTATATCTAATATGAAGAAAAAAATTGTGGGGAGCATGTGCCCACCACTCTATTCCAAAGGTGGCTTCGCCCCTACTGGTATGGGACAAAGCAGTTGATTTGGCTTGAAAAAGCAGCCACCTTTCGAAATCCTACACTTCCGAATGTTAGCAAGAATGGTAGAGGAAAAACTTATTGTATATATGGGTAATATTTAGTTGTCTGGTAAATTTTTATTTATTAATAAATAGAAAAACCCTATTCTTAGCCAAACCCTAATTTTAGCCAAACCCCTATTCGACTCAAATTTTGATACTCGAATCGAATTTTAATTAGTGCTAACAGCTCAACTTGAGTTCAAATCGACTCAAATTTTAATAGGTAAAAAAAAAATTTAATAAGCTCGAATTTTAATACGTAAAAAATAAAATTTAATCAGTTCGAATCGAATTTTAATTGGCTCAAATTGTTATATGTAGAAAAATAAATTATAATCAACTTGAATTTTAATATGTAAAAAAAAAAATTTAATCAGCTTGAATTTTAATTAACTTTTATGTAGAAAAATTGTTTTGGGTTTATGTAGGACAATTTTGGTATATTAGATAATAATTTTTTATTGGAAATACTGGTTTAATGACAAGGAATGTTAGTGATATTTAAATATAAGCTAGAAGAAGTGTCAGTGATATTTTGGATAATAGAGGGGGTGTCCTCGAAGATATAATAATTTAAAAGGGGTGTCATTGAAATTTTTTTTATTTATGTATATACAAATTTCAGACCCTAAATCCCATTTCGTCTCTAAACCAAATTTTAGACCTTAAATACACAGACAAATATTTGGTTTTTGATTTTTTTTTTTGTCTTGTATTTTGGTGAAATTTTATTTCTTTTCTTTTTTTCATTTGGATTTTTCAATTGATTTTTTTTCCTCTTTTTATTTGATTTTGTGTACCTTGAATCAATGATTTTATATTTCACTCTACTTTTGCTCCGCCTTCGACAAGCCGAGTCGGAGACAAAATTATAGTTGATCGAAGTCGAGAGAAAAATGAACTTTGACTGTACTCAGAGTTTCGGATGTATGCATTCCGACTCCATCGGAGTCGATGCACACCCCTAACTTTTACATATAAATTACATGCCGAAATGATAATGCAAACAAAAGAGAAGTTGACGGGAGAAGTATTTTGCAGAAAATCATAAATTGAGACTATTTCTTCATCCTTGGAAGGCATTGCTACTTTAAAAAAAAAGAAGCATTTGTAGTTGTTTTCTGCAATTAAACTCAAAATTAGAATAATAAAACAAGCAATCAATTATATTCACTTGATTAATTTCGCAATCATCACTTGATTGTTTATAAATATTAAAAAATATAGGTAATTATCATCTACTTCCCTTTTAGATATGTATATTTTCAATGAGACCTCTCTCCTAACACATTTTCTAGTTTATATTTAAATATCCTTAACACTCTCTGTCATTTTTTTTTTGGGAGGGAAGAGAGGGAGGGGGAGGGAAGACTTGAACCCTTGATCTCAAGAAGACAAAGTCTTCACAAGGTAAGGAGTATCATTGAATTAAAGGTCTGTTGATTAACACTCTCTGTCGTTAAACCACCATTTCTAACAAAAAAAATTCATTTAAACTACTAAAATTGCTCTTATATAAAACCCCAAACAACTTTTTGACATAAAATTCGATTAAACTTTATTTTTTTACATATTAAAATTAGAGTCAATTAAAATTTATTTTTCTACTCATTAAAATTCAAACTGATTAAGATTTATTTTTTTACATATTAAAATTTGAGTCTATTAAATTTTTTTTTTAAGTATTAAAATTCGAGCCGATTAGAACTCAATCCTAAGTTGCTAGCACTGATTAAACTTCAATTCGAGTCGGCTAAAATTTATATTTTTTTATTTATTAAAATTCAGACTGATTAAAATTTTATTCGAGCTGATTAAAATTTATATTTTTTTACATATTAAAATTTGGGCCAATTATAATTTAATTCGATCTGATTAAAATTTATATTTTAACCAGCTCAAATTTTAATACGTAAAAAAATAAAAATTTTAATTGACTCAAATTTTAATACGTAAAAAATGAATTTTAATCAGCTCGAAACGAATTTTAATTGGTCTAAATTTTAATTAGTAAAAAAGTTAAAAAAATAGAAAGAATTTCATTGAAGATGTACCTATCTAGCGAGGCTATGGATAAAATTTTTTCTAAAATATATCATAGTTAATTTAGTAAAATTACATTCTCATTATCGTCGTTAATCTGACAGGGGTGTCAGTGATGTGTCAGATAATAGAGGAGGTCTCATTAAAAATATATCTATTTGGAGGGGTGTCAATGATAATTACCATAAAAATATTCAATTCCAGTATTAAGTTTTTAAAAGAATGTTACAATTAAGTCCTACTTTGACAATGTATTCCCAAGAAGTCCTAAACTCCATTAACGTTTGTTTAGTTCCAATTTTATCCTTCCGATGAAAACACAAATTACATTTTTATTTATAATTTTATATTCAATTTTACATATTGAAATATAATTTTTTTTTATCTTGGATTAAAATCTAAGTGAACTATACCTTTAATTATCACAGTATCCGGCCTATTAACATATAGGAGTTCATATGCTTGTAAATCTTACCTAATATAAAAGTTATTACATAAATAAATATATTTTATTTTATCTCCTAAATACAATATTATAGATTGAATGATTGAATTCTTTTTTTTTTTAAATAATATTTTTTCTAATTAATTTAAAAAGTGAAAGGAGAAGTAAAAAAAAAATAGAATTAGGTGAACTGTTTTCATTGATCATATTCATAGATTTGTTTTTACATTGTTAATTTTGTAATTATATGTTTTTATGGTCGAGATTTGATAGTCAAATGAGTCAAAAATTATATACTTAAAAAAATTTAAAATAAGAAAAAATAGAGTTGTATGATTTATCATTTATATAGGTTTTTATTGTTAACTATGTATTTTGGGTGTTATGCACTAGTCAAGAAAAAATAATAATTTATTTGAGGTCTTAACAACAAATTGGAAGAAAATATACTATTGATAAAGTATATGACTTCTTGAGAATAAATTTATATAATAAAGTGTAATACAATTTAAATTTCAAAGATAAATAAAAATGACTTTTACTATTCGCATTTGCGATTTTTTTAAATTTTATTTTAAAATTAATCTGACAACTAATATTAACTGTTCAAATTTAATAGGAAAAATAGGTTCCTACAGGTATGTTTGAAATGACTTTTTAAAAGTGTTTCGAAGACTTTTAATTTCTCATAAATATTTTTTTAAAAAATAGTGTTTAGAACCGCCTCACTACCACCCCCATTGCCCCACCCCCATCACCACCACCATTGCCACCCTACCACCACCACCACTATCACCACCCTACCACCACCATCGCGCCCACCCCACTACCATTATCGCCACTACCACCACCCCTACCACAATCAGTGTCGCCACTTTACCACAACCACTGCCGCGCTACCACTATTGTCGCCACCACCCTACCACCACCACTACTGTCACCACCTCCACCACCGTCATCACTGTTGTCACACATGACTGTCATCATCACCACAGTTGTCGTCACCCACCACAATCATCACTGTTTCTCACAATCATCACTGTCGCTGATCATTGCTCGCCTCCAGTACAATCTGTACTTAAATTCCTTTATTTATTTTTTATATTTGAGAATTGATTTTAGATGTGAATACAAATATGTTTATTGTTGATTATTTTTTTTTATTACTTCATGCCTTTAGACACAAAAAATAACTAGGTATCAAAAATAGGACTTAATGATCACAAAATAAATATGATATGACTTAATAGTTCTTTTGAAGAAAAGATATGACTTATTGATAAAATTTTCAGGAAAGTTTCATTAAGCTATTCATTAATTCATTCCCAAGAGGCAATCTTTATTTTTTTTCCTTCCTATTTCTTTATTTTTTAGGGGTCCCATCGAATAAAGAAGTAAACCTAAAAAAATAATGAATTTGATAACTATTAGATCTTTTATAGCGGAACTCCCATTTTTTTTATTTTTCAACAAAATTAAATTATT